TCATGAATTAGACGTTCGGTTGTCGAAAAACTTGCAGACGGTATTTCAATGATTTTTAAAGTTTCGCAAGGCTTCTAATGTTTTACATTTCCACTCGAAGCTACTCAATCATTTTTTTGTTTGTCTATTGACTCGACCCTTGATTTTCACTTGCGATAGTGACCCACTCCTTCCACTTCTTCTGCTCATTCTCATCCCTCCCGACCCTCCGAACACAGCGCAAAGATTTTCATCATCACAATGACTCATTTCGTGATCCGTGCGGCTTTGCGGTTTGTGAAAATGTCCATTGGTCCCTTGCGAAACCAGCACCTACAAATAACGGCTTGACCTCCGGAATCGTCACCCAGACTTGGTGGTGGACTCGTGAAAAATTTGGTCAGTCTCGAGATAAGGTCGTTTTCACTTGTTGGTGGCCGCTTTCTGGTGTGGTTTTTTTGGGACAGCTGTCACAAAATAGCATGAGAACCGGAGAGACCTAGGCGATTTTCCAGTCGTAATCGATTCGCTGGGCCCAGCTGAAAAGCACGGGGCTGGGCGGAACACAGGCTTTGTAAATAGAGTTTTCACTCTAGAATTTTGTGGTTTTGGCCGGGTATTGACTTTTGTATTTTCTGTAACATTTAGAAATATGTTTTACTGATTACGGCTTACTAATTTTACAGGCTTTCCGTTTTTTTTAACAGAATAGATCAAAATTCGGAAATTTTGGGCTTACAATTTTAGGAAGCGTTTTTTATTGGGGTATATTTCATTAACTTTTGCATATTTTAACGTGTTTTCGCATTTCTGAAAATGTTCTATTTATCATTTGCCTGTTTTTTTCAGAGAAATCGGTTTTTCAGATGTTTTTATTAATCCTCGGCTCGTTATTTGTAATTTGGCTAATTCAACAATTCTATTGGAAACGAAAGGATCTGCCGCCAGGTGGATTTTAATTTATTTTTTGCACTTCCTGATATAAAAAATCCTTTTTTTGACATGGGGGGAGGGGCGAAATTTCATAGCGTAACGCAATGACCGAAAGGAGAAATATGCTAGACAGGCTAAAATGGGCTAATTGTGCCCAGTTTTAGCACCATGATCGAATGCAAACCATTTTTTACTTTTCAGGGCCAACACCGCTTCCCCTAATTGGCAACGTGCTTTCTTTAGTTCGTGACCCTCCAGGTTACACAGTTCTCGAGAAATGGAGGCAACAATATGGACCCGTTTTTACCTATTGGTTTGGTAAGTTGGACTTGTCAGCTTTTTCGTTTTGGTCTACTATCCCTATGAAAAAAACAGTATATGTCCTAGAAGGATTTACAGTCAAAAATTGCCGCTCTTTAGGACCCTACCCAATGATTATGGTGGCTGATTATCAGCTGATGAAGGACACATTCGTAAAGGATGGTGACAAATACGCAGGGCGATTTAAGAACGATACCCTGTATATTTTTAGAGGTAGTTTCTTAAAAAATTCTAACCTAAGTAAATTATCTAGGTGGCGAGTACGGTATTTTGGACACCTCGGGTGACGTCTGGAGAGAAATGCGTCGATTCGCGATTCACACTTTCCGTGACTTTGGAATGGGACGGAATATTATGGAGGAGAAGGTGAGGGCGAGAGAGGGAGAGAGAGAGACAGAGTGTTAGATAGAGAGAGCGAGAGATAGATAGAGCGAGAGAGAGCGCGGGAGAAATAGAGAAAGAAAGCTATAAAACAATGTAGATCTATTCCAGATCCTCTGCGAAGTTGGCGCCTTCAATGATCGTCTACTGGCGCAACAAGGCCAAGAAGTATCTCCACAATGGGAATTTGACCTTGGTGTCGGCTCCGTTGTCAACAATATGCTTCTGGGCTACCGTTTTGATGAGGTAACTTGATTTAAATTTCTTAATAGGCCTTATTACGCCTGAAGTAAGTCGAGGATTTTATTTTCAGGACAAACACGCCGAATTCCGAGACCTAAAAGAGGTGCTGACCGACCATCTCAAGGTTGTCAGTAGCGCGCCAGTGATTTTGGCCGTGACAGTCAAGCCACTGAGAAATCTTCCATTTTTCAAGGGTAAAGGCTATGCTAATTTGAATTTTGATACCTTAAAAGCTTTATTATATCTTGTCAGAGCAGGTGATACGAAACTGGAAATTTTAGGCGCGTTCCAAAAAGCGCTCATCGTCCGCGACCGTCTCTTCGAATTCTTCGATCGCCAAATTGAGTCGAGAAAAGCGGCAATTGACTATGATTCTGAGGTATCAAAGCCGATTTCGTGGTTAATCCCATCCTGTTTCTGTTCAGAACAATGCTGATTTCGTCGAATGCTTTTTGAAAGAAATCCACAAAAGGAAAGACGAGAAAGACGGGCATTATCAGTAAGTTCAGCAATAAATTTTAACGTTGGTTTTTTAGTATCGAACAGCTGAAGAATGTGCTCTTCGATCTGTGGATCGCAGGAATGGAAACCACCTCAAACACCTTGACTTGGGGAATTGCATATATCCTCAACAACCCTGAAGTCCAGAAGAAAATCATCGAAGAGTTGGACAAGAATATCGATTCCGATCGTCTAATCACACTGGCGGATAAGCCGAAGCTGAACTACATCAGTGCTACGATTAATGTAATTTTTTGTGTGCAACTATGAGCTTTTGAAAGAAGCATTCAGAACGAAACCATTTAAAATCGGTTTGTTTTGCAAAAATCGCTTCACCAATCATTGATTTGTACAATTTCATAAAATTTTGATATGAATAATTAGTCAAAAGCAAGTTAGGAGATTCTTTAAGAATGCGCACAAAATAAACCCAAAATCATTTCCTTCAGGAAATCCAACGCATGGCCAACCTGTTACCAATCAACCTTTTCCACGTTACAACCGAAGACGTTACGGTAGCCGGGTACACCATCCCGAACAATACGATGATCAACCCGCTTATTAGTGTGTTGTTGTATGATGAGAAGGTATCGTAAAGCTCTACTTTATATAACCTTCGAATCTAGGTGTTCCCGGAGCCCTACAAGTTCAAGCCCGAGCGCTTCTTGGAGGCTGACGGTTCGCTGAAGAAGTTTGAGGAATTTATGCCATTTTCACTCGGGAAACGACAATGTCCCGGGGAAGGATTGGCGAAAATCGAGCTGTTCCTGTTTTTGGCAAATGTTTTCCAGAAGTTTGAGGTGGGTAGAAGTGCTCTCTTTCTCTTTGCCTCTTTCTATCTCTCGCTCTCCCTCTCTCTCTCTCTGTCTCTCTCTCGTTCTCTCTCTTCTAGCCTAAGTTTTAGGTCTCTTCCGTCACTACACCTTCCTTGAAAAAGCACCTCGGAATAATCATGACGTGTGCGGAATACAAATGCAAATTTACCGAGCGCATTCGCCCTTGATGTCTGTACAGTACGCAATTATGAGTACGGTATGTAATGATGAATAAACTTCAATTTTTGGTATCGTACCTGCAATTGACTGAAGGTCAGTCAAAAATTCAAGTAAATGCAGGAAGCTTCATTTAAAAATCGCTTCAATAAAGTCTCCTCAATAGTTCAATCCTTGTTTCTCGTTCCTTTCCTTGATTTCGGGGATCTCGTGGATCTTGTTGACGTAGGCGATGATCTGAAAAACACAAATTACGTTTGGAAAATTGTTATTACCTCCGGGTACTTGTCCAAGAAGTTCGGCGCCGAGGTGAGCGTAATCTCCAAGGCGTTCACGAAGATCAAGTCCGCCCAGGAGACCTTGGAGCCGACCTGAAAAGATATAATTATCACTCTCTCTCTCTCTCCCTCTCTCTCTCACGCTCTCTTTTTCTCTCTCGCTCTCGATAAACTCACTAAAAATCCAGATCCATTAGCTTTGAGCTGCTTGACGATGAGCGGAAAATGGTGATCACGGGTTGGCTCAGCGACTTCCTTGTACAACTTCTCCTTGTCGCTGCCTACTGCTGACCACGGCCGCATGGCGGTGTCGTAATCTTGGAGCTGATCGACCCACTGGTCAATTTGGGCGGACTCAAATTCGTCGGCGCCGGCGAAGCTAGATGTCATTGTCACGTTAAGCGGCCTGGCCGTACTTACCGAACTGCTTGCCCAAGTAGCGGTAGATGGCCTTCGACTGGCCGAGCTCTTTGCCATCGACTTCGAGGATTGGAAGCGTTCCGAATGGAGTTGCTGAAAAGAGGGGGGTTTAGATAGGGTCAGCGTGCGCGAGAGACAGAGGGAGAGAGAGTGAGCTAGAGAGACCCCTACTCGGCTTCAATACAGCCCAATTTTCCTTCTTGATCCTGTTGTCCTCAAAGTCGACATGGGGCGAGAGCGAAGAGCTGCCTGGCGGGCTCGCCCCGACCTCGGATGTCGAAGTAGGTCAGTTTGTAATGAGGTATCGCAGACAGTTTTCCTGAAAGCTTTCATAATGCGCGTTAATGGCGGGAAAGCCGCAGTTCTTTCAAAAAAGGAGAATAACAACTTAAAATCTCGCATAATCTTGTAAAAAATCTAAAAATACAGAATAAGTTTTTAATTTACCTGGTTCTCACAAACATTGTAAAAATTCTTGTGTTACTCTAACAGATTTTAAATAGGCTCTTAGCATGAAAACCAAGGTTTCATGCCGGGAAAACGGCCGTGGCAGGCCGTGTTTACCCGGTCAACATGCCAGGTGGGGCAGCCTTGGGCTTATATCGGCAATTGGGTGCAGAGACTCTAAGCTCCACTTCCTCGCGCTAGTCTCTCGCTCTCTCACTCTCTCTGTCTCTGTCTCTGTCTCTCTCTCTTTCTCTTGCTCTCTCTCTCTCTCTCGCTCTCTCTCTGTCTCTCTCTCTCTCTCTCTCTCTCTCTCTCTAGTTTTCACCGAAACAACACTCACAGATCACTACCGAGGCTAAACCTTCCGTCAAAAAGCAACCCGGCGCTCTCTCTCTCCTTCTCTCTCTTTCTCTCTCTCTCTCTTTCTCTCTCTCTTTATCTCTCTCACTTTCATTTTACCTCTCTCTCTCTCACCTAAAAAATTCGTTTAGGTCACTTCTAAATCCCATCCTTCCGTCAAGAAGCTTCGTGGTTTCATGATGACTACACCTGGCAATTTGTACAACGTCATCGACATTTTGTACCTTGATCGAGTTACAGTATGAACCGGTGATAACAAATATAAAACTTCCTCATCAGCGTCTCCCACATTCGAATCTGATCGCCCGCACTCCAGCGTCAAAGCGCAACACAGACTTCCCAATTCATGGGCACATAAAGCATGGGAAAATGGAGATTTTATGTGCTCAAATGTCAGAGTGCGTTCCGGAAACTTTCATATCCACTTGATATCTTCTACCGGGTGTCGTCTGGCCGGCATGTTTGAATCTGGGTTTCTCCTGATTTTTGCGATTTTCTGTACCCAAATCGGGGTTTCGCAAATCTTCAATACGGAATTTGGATCGGTACGTTTCGTTAGGTAACTTATAGAAACTAAACCTGTAGTTTTTAAGGTAATTTCTACACCTTAAAGCCTAAAAAGGCTGATGTTAAAACAGCTATAGAATTTCGAGAACCTTTCTAAGAAAAAATAGTTCTTTGCTTTCCATCCATGAATCTGAAAATGACATTTTAGGGCTTCGCCGCCGAGACCGAGCAGGTTCGCGAGAAACGCCAGTGGCTGGTACGTTCGAAAAAGCTCAAGAATAAGAACCAAGGCTACGAGCTAAAAAGATATTTTTAGTCTGGTGACCTGCTCGCCTACAAGGCCACCAGACCACCTGGCGCGGTAGGTATTCGAAATCTTTCGATAAAAAACTGTGAAGTGAACCCTCAAGATGAAAATAAAGAGAAGAGTTTGATCAACTCTTCTTTAGGGAGCTGCCCCGGCCGGTAAGAAAAATGCTGCCCCTGTGCACGCTCCACCAGCCCCGTGGCTGAACAACCCCGCACCGGCTCCGGTAAGAATAAGCTTTGAAGCCCGGATTTTTAAGGAGATCAGGAAGGCCCAGGTGAATTAGAATAAAACTGGTTTAATGCTAAAAGTTAACATACATATTCTCTGCTCCCTCTTCTCTCTTCCCACCTTTTGCCCATTTTTGCATTAGCATTTCCGGTCGGCTCGCTGCCAATTTTATATAAGCCCTGATCTACTGGACCTACATCACGTCTGTATTAGTCCTGAAAGCCAACCGGTAACGGTACGCCAAAAACGAAGAAGCGAGCGTCTCCGGCAAGAGGAAGCAGAGTCACTTTACGCCGCGTCCCCGATTTTGAGCTAATTGAAATATGCCGGCCGGACACCTTTAAAATGCCTGTAGACGCAAATACCTAGGCAACGACCACAACGACTACAAAAGCGCCGACAACGACCACTACCACTACAACTACGACTACAACCACCACTACGACCACGACTACTACCACGACAGCGGCGCCGATAACGACGGCAAGTGTTTCATTACTTCCATAAAAACCTTTACTGTCGAAGCGGTAAAGCACGGGGATGACGGACCATCGAAACGTAGATTAGCAATTACTTATACCTGAGATCGCAATATCCGAGTTGCTAGCTTCAGTTCTGGCTCGAGTCAAAACCTCACGTGTAAAATGAGGCGGTGTGGTGCAAACTATAAAAGCAGCCGGAAGCTAGATCAGGATTCGATGATAGCAACCTGATGCGGCTGCTGAGCCGCCGGTAGCACGACCTAAGCCGACTGCTTCAGACGTGGTCTTGGGAAGAAGTTACCCCGGTCTCGTCGACGTCAACGACGACTACGACCACCGCCCCTACGACTGATGTTAACTTGGGATTGCCGTCTACGACAGTCTGGATCGGCATCCAGAGCACTAGCCACCAGGTTTGTATAAAACCAAGACGGGGAGTAACTTGGGGGGAGATTATAAGCCAAACCACGCTTGCTTTTTAGCTTGTGACCGATACATCCGTCATCCCCGTGCCGTAAGGTACGCTCTAAAATTCATACTTAAAAACTGAATCAGTATAACTAGACGTTTAGAGAATGAAAGTTACCTTCCTCCCTTTCGCTGCCGCCCTACCCTTTAGGTAAATTTAACTTTTTGGTTCTACAAATTTTTGTTTAATTTCAGCTTCTCCTGACCGGATCCTACTCTGTGCTACAAAGCAAAGCAAGATAAAATTTTGCATGCAAATGTAACGACAGAGTGCAAAAATATATTTATGACCTAACGAGCTGCGGATCCCATTGTTTGTCGAGTTGCGTGAAGTAGTCTTCTTGCTTCGCCCCAAGATAGAGGTCCTAAAAAATTTATAACTTTCCTATGAAATATGAAATTAACCTGTCCACTGGTCCCCAAAATTCTCCCAATAAAGGAGCCCGGCGTCTCGAGGTTGTACTTCACGACTCGAATTGTTGGGCTGAAAAGAATACTCTGGATGGCCTTAGACACGAAACCTGAGCTGCTTCCACTTTTTCCTCAGAACCTTCACCGAATCATCAAAAATCTGCCGATTAGAAATATGGAGCAAGATCGCTAGCGTGAGCGAATACCTACAAAATGGAATTAAAGCGTCGAGGCGATATAAATACGATACGAATCATGGATCAAGACAAACAAAACTTTTGCAAACCAACTTACTTCGCATGTTGGATGGACATTATCACACCCACGATATTCCGCCAAAACCACGGCGCATCGCTGCGATTAAAGATAAAGAAGCCCCCAGCGATCACATTATTAATGGCGGCGAACCAAATCATCATGCTTATTGCCTAAACCTTTGATTTGTTTGCAGCCGAACAATGCTGACCTTTAATGCCTTCTCATTCTCCGTAAGTTGATACTTTTTGCTCAACGTGTAACCGGGTGTGGGGAGCGCGCGGAGTTGTTTCCGGTTTTGCTTGATGATGCAAAGCGTGGCCTAAAAGAAGCATAAAAGTGGTGTGTTCTCTAGAAAAAGTTTTCTTCAACCAGAAGAACTACGCACCACACAAATGGTCATTGTCGATGGGATACTATAGGCGGCCGCGAAAACAGGGGTCAGGATATCTAAATAGCAAGTTATTGAATACAAAAACACAAGGCCGCAACCAGAGAAATCCAGAAGAAATGCGCCAGAATTTTTGCGGGCGGCATTGATCTAGCTTCCGCTTTAAAAAATTGGTGTGAAAATGCGCTTCGAACGCCAGCAAATGCGGAAAACTGTTTTAGAACTAAAAAGCAGCAAGAGTCATGATCTAAACATTTGGCGCCGGGGCTTTGAATTCGGCCAGAGTCTAGTTCGAACGCCCGGTGCATTGGAGCCTGGCGTAGGTCTCCCGGGCTGGGACTACTACGTAGATTTTATTGCAACGAAACCGTAATGTCATGTTTGCTTACTATAAAGGTATCCAATTGATCCCAGTATCCCGGCAACGAGGCAATAAAAAATTTGTGCCTTGAAGAATCGTTCGTAGTGAACCCGCTCATAAACATGTGCTTTGTATGTGGCCACGGCGCGTTCGATCATAATGCCGCCTAACGAGCTCATAAAAACCTAAATTTTATAAGAAAATCGTAAATATGGCTAACCGTTATCGTACTGACCCGAAAAATGGAGGCAACGAGTAAGGGAACTGGGAGGTCCACTAAAAAAGTTCACATCTGAAAATCGAGGCGTCGGACCGTAATATAACCACTCGAATTGCATCTCGCTGGTATATATTATTAGCACAAAGCGAGAAATCATGAAAAAATATAGCCAGATCAACTGCAAGCGATAGAAACGTACAAAGTTAGGATGGAACGCCTGAAATTCATTTCCGGGGAATTCATTTCATTTGCAAACCTGCAGTTTACTCACAATATATAGCGAAATAGGAACCATTATGCTACAAAGCGTATAAAATAATAGCTCAATTCCATAGCCTAGCCAAATTAGCGGCATTAACCCATCTTCGGTGGCAGCTGTGTAGTTTACAAAAGTTAAAAGTTGATAAGGCATAGGCGGCCTGTTGGGATGTTTTTAATCGTTGTTGCCTTGAGGTTGGCTTTCTCAGCGTTGCTGGAGAATTTTCGATTCGGTGCAGGTGATTTTCGTAGAAATTAATTAGGTGATCCGCGCCAGCGGTGGACGCAAGGACGCACGACATTGTGGGCGACAGCAGAAAAATGCCTGCAAGCGGAAGTTGAATTGCGAGCTAAAGAGCGCGTTCGACTCGTCGCTGTGGCACGAGCAAAGATTTCAGCTCTGCCCCAAATTTGAGATGAGATGTTCATGTTCATGACCTCGTCATTTGACGAATCTGCTTGTCGTTCCTTTGTACGAACGAAATCGTGTTCGATCTACGGTAACAGGTGTGCACTTTATCTGTCCACAAACTATGAAATATTAAATTGAATGGCCAAGTGGATACTTCACGTGTACCAACTACGTGTACCTGTTACGACACAATTATGTTGCTTTAAAATTAGTTTGGCACGTCAGCTGTTGATCTCAGGGATGTAAAACAGCAGCACAGACGGAAAACTTGCAGAATCTCGAAGACCAACATCTTGAAAATTGGAATCTCGAAAATGTTTACCTTTTGCCAATCATGAAGAGTTAGGATGCCGCCTTCCAACACACGATTGCGTGAAAAAACAAATGTGCTACGGTCTCGATTTTCGGGATTCTAATTTTCGCGCTCTGGCTTTCGAGATTTTGACTTTCGATATCCTGGTTTTCAAGATTCTGAATTTTCCAGATTCGGAAATTTCGAGGATCGGGGTTTTGAGATACCAATTTTGCAGATTCTGATTCACGAATTCGGATTTTCGAGATTCTGTTAGCAAATAATCTCAGACTTCCCTGAGTCTAGAAAACAACTCTTGCTGCTTGGATCAAGTTCGTCTAGACTGCTCCTTGCAAAAAATTTATTGTGGCCTGAGCGGTGGCAGGTGCCACTGCGCGGTGAGTTGATGAAAATAGTCCTCCTGCTTGGCGCCCAGGTAGATCTCCTGCAAATAACAGAAAGTTCTCAAAAACCAAAAATCACCAACCTTTCCCCGACTATTCATGACTTTCTTTTCAATCTGAGGCAGGTCGTCGACGCAGCTGGGTTCTGGCAAGGGTCTGAATGAGCCACTCATCACTAATTATTAGATTTTGATCTTTGATCTCAATTTTTCCATGAAAAGACGCACCTCAACTTTCTCCAATCTCGCAAAAGAATGCTCTTGGTGAGCTTATAAAGTCGCTTTGTCGAGATGGGCGCGAAAAACGTCATCGTCAAGGCAAATCTACAAATCGAGACACAATTGTGAAAACTCAGCACTACGTACATCACACTCCATAAAGACGTAAGCATCCCAAAAATGTTGCGCCAGTACCACGACAGCCATTCGTAGCGGTTGAGCGCAAAGAACGAGATAAAGGATAGGTTAAAGAACGCCGCAATTTCAACGAGCAGAGAGATGACCTGTAAAAGCGCCTTAAGTTTTCAGTCTGAAGTCTGTCTACAACTACCGGGCGTTGCCAAAAAAACACGAAAAAGCTCTGGAAGAAGTTGCACCAAACCAACCTCCATCGCCTGCTCGTTCTCTCGCAATTGGTACCTCTTGCTCAGAGTATAGCCGGGAGTCGGTAGAGCTCGAATTTTCTTCTCATTAATGCGTATCGTGACCAGGGTTGACTAAAATTTCGCTTATGAATAACGAGAAACGTACCACTCCGCCAGCCAGCGTAACCAACATTGCTAGCACGAGTCCATATGCCATTACCAACACATCTAAAGCGCAGGAAAACTTTGCTTACGAATTCGAAATGAAATACATAATGTCGAAATTTCAGCATGTCGAAAGGTCATAATGTCGAAATTTCAGAATCTTGAAATTCACATAAACGATTTCCTGGAAAACCCCCGAATCCCATGCAAAGAATTTGGATTTTTTGCATTGCATTCGATGAATTTTCGACACAATGACATTTCCGCATGATGAAATTTCGGCATTATGATGTCGGCATTATGAAATAAAATTCCAAAACGCCAAAATTCTTACTATATGTGACGAGCAGCGACATCAAAAACGCGAACAGCAGGCCCCCAGCGGCCAATAGGGCAAAGAAACCCTCATGATAATTCGTCTCGTAGCTGCCCGCCTTGACCGTGGCGTACCAGCGCTCAAAGAGGATCATCACGAGATTGGCTAGAAAGTAGAGCGGTTTCAAGGCTTGTAATTTGCCATACTCGGCATCATCGCAAAGACCCAACCGCGAAAAAATGAGAACACCAGAAGCGGCAGGGGAATTGGATCTGAATATCTTGATAAGCTTTTCTTAGCTTTACAGGGTCTGCAATAAAAAACACCCCCTCTAACTCGACGCAGAAGTATCGGATCGGGATGATAGTTACACCATTCGAAAGCCCTTGAAACGGCGAGCTTGCAACAATATTTACAACCATGTTTTTATTTAAACGCGTCATCTTACAAAGCTTTGAATAACATTAAGCAAAGGCCTCTGCATCTAATTAACGGCAACAGCCGGTCATTTTACTTGGAGAAATTGAGGCAAAATAGCTCGTATGCAACCTCGAAAAACCGGAATTTTTTGCCAACTGGCTTGTGAAATAGCGGGCTTAAATAAAAACATGGTTTTGAAGATTGCTGTAAACTCGCCGCTGCCAAGGCTTTCGAATACCGTAACCAACATGCCGATCCGATACTTCTGCGTCGAGTTAGAGTCGGGTGTTTTTTGTCGGGACACCCTGTAGAACCAGACCCTGCCAAATCCATTGCAGTTCCATACTGCTCTCATAATAAGCCAGCACAATTCTGCTAATCGCAAATGGATAGATGCCGTACAGATTCATCGTGTAGAATCGGACCAGGTTTGGGTGGAACCACTGAACGGAAGCATCGCGCAGGTAATTGAAAAAATTAATGGAATTGCACGTCGATATCTTGAAGCTATCACCCACCGAAAGGTTGTTGACGACATGAATCGATAGGGGGATTAAGACGAAATTCAGCGCCGAAAGAATGATCTCCAGCAAGTAGCCGACTTTGACCCAAGTCAACAGATCGTCCTCACGAGCCGCAGTGAAATTTACGTATAAATATAGCTGGTATTCAGACATCCACCGAAACTGTAAAGTCCGGCTGCTAAGTCACTCAAAATCCTAAGAAAGCGAAGACCGCTGCGATCGATAGTCTAGACGGCAAATTATCGGGACTTCAGCAGGTGCATAGCTCTCTCGCCGTGTTGTGGTAATGAGAATTCACGTCTTGTGTACAAGCGAGAGTAATTCGGTGGTTATGATGTAAAGAAAAACGGTCTGCTAACCAAAAAAGGGATGATCAATGCGTTTATGCAGAAAAAACATCATATGATCAATCAAATATCAACGAAATCAATTTTAGATTTCAAGCAGTTAAAAATATGCGGTTGGACTTCATCCCTATTGCTTGGACTTTTTGGGCAAACCCCATTGCGAGTCGAGCTGCGAAAAGTAGTCCTCGGTGCTGGCGCCGAGGTAGAGCTCCTAAAGAGAAAAATTGTTAAATTTCAGTGAAACTTGCCTGTCCTCGTGTATTTAAAATTTTCGACGCGGCATCAGTGGCCAAGCTGCTTCGTCTCGTCTCGACTTTCGAACTGAGATTTGCATCAAAGTGGTAGGAAAAGTATCCTTACCGATTCCAGCGTTTCCTGAGCATCTTTTTCACATCGTCCCAGACACGCCGATTCGACATTACGCTTAACAGCATGATCGAGAGCGCATACCTAAGAAATTCGATAGAAAAATACAGAAACCTACTGGGCGTTTATTAACGACAATGTGATCCCGAATATATTCGACAAAACGGGTGATAAAGTGATTCGATTGAAAATGAATAACAGCCCAAAGCAAAGATTGGCGACCGATACGTAGATGACGATGAAAGTGACGACCTAGTAGCGTCAACGTTCTATAACCTTTCTACCCTACCCTACCTGCATAGCTTTCTCATTCTCTCGTAGCTGATACTTATTGGTCAGCGTATAACCTGGCATCGGTATTTTACGTATCTTTTGCCGATTGATTCGGAGCGCTGCCAGCGTCGCCTAGACACATTATTAAGGTTTCATAATCCCATACCGTTGCCGCCGAAGTGCTGCCGACCACGCCGAGCATGCCGGCAAAGCTTGGCGAGATGATACCTAGACCCAGGCTGAAATTTATTAGAAGAGCAACGCCTACCCAGCACGAAGAAACATCCCATCAAACCAGCGAAAGCCACGCCGAGAAACGTAAGAAAGATAAAGAACCATCGGTAATGTACGGATTCGTAGCTGGCGGCCATAATCGTTGCGAAGAGCCTCTCGAATAGTATTCCGGTAAGGGTGGCTGAAAGGTTTTATCCTATAAAGCCCAAGTTCAGGGATGGGCCGTTTACTCATCCCAACGTGTACACCCTATGGACGTAGGGACCGCGCGCACTGGCTCCCGCGCCGTGGGAGGCAATTCTCCCCTCTACGGGGCGCCGCTCCTCACGCCCTCGCCAGGTTGTGGCTGTGACTGACTCGTATCCATCAGCGCTTCCCAAGCGGGGGCTCGGGTTTGACCCCGCTCGCCGAAAAAAATCTTTGCTTTTTGCTTTACAAACGTGCCTGAACGTGCCATTTAAATAAGTTTAGAAAACCGACTTGGCATTAGCGCATATATGAAAGCCCGAAAGAACGAGGAAATGATTAGCGGAAGCGGTTGAGGTCCTGAAATTGTTGAAAATGTTTTTTCATTCATTTGAAGTCGCTCTTCTCCCTGACCTGGCCATTCCCACATAAACTCCAAGCTGCTCTCATACAAAGCCAAAATGAGGCGCGAAATGGCGAACGGGTAAATGAACACGAGGTTCACAGCGAATAGGCGAACCAGATTTGGGTGGAACGTCTGGAATTATCGTATTTTCTTAAAAGACCATAGATTTTCTAAGTATATTTTCCTAGCTACCTTTTAACCTTAAACGTACAGGCAAATTGTGCATGACATAAAAGATTATCGGGGCAAGCAGCAAAGTCCCAGAATAGAGAACAATTTCGACAAAATAGGCACACCAAACTATTGGCCCCATGCCAAGTTCATCTATAGAAGTAAAGTTGACGAATATCATTAGCTGATACGGTCGCCGCATCCTAGTGCTAATCAATCAATAGGAACAAACTCCTCTCGTTCAGCTTGTATTGAGCAGTTAAAAGGTATAGGCCTTCTGCGAAACAGGTGTTTTTCTCGATTTTTGGTGCTCTTTTCTTTGCGATTTTTCGTTGTCATGAAAGGCACGCCGCTTTTCAAAGATTGTGGAAATCAATTTATGCTCAAAGCGTTATTTCCTTGTTTTTGCTAGGCGGATGCCACTGCGAATCGAGTTGCGAGAAGTAGTCTTCTGTCTTGGCACCGAGGTAGAGCTCCTGAAACCTTGATTAAGATGGAAAAGAAAAACTTGCTTTTCCTCGCGTATTCGTAACTTTTGTCTCGTTCCCGCCACCGCGGGAGCTAATTTTACCCGTCTCCAGCGTAGAACTAAATTGTAAATTTCGAGCAACAACACTAAATCCTACCCAATGTATCGCAATCTCCTGCGCAGAAGCTTCTTGATATCGTCCCAAACCCGGCCGTTCGACAAGGCGGTCAGCAAGATTATGCAAATGCCGTATCTAAAAGAACTTATGAAGAAATGTGAAATTTACTGGGCATTGATCAGGCTCAGCATAACCCCAAAAATATTCGCCCAATAAAGTGAAAATTCCATGCGATTGAAGACAAACAAAACACCGAAAGAAAGGTTGACGATCGAGGCGTAGACTACAAGGACGGAGATGACCTAAATCAATGACAGAGAACATCGAATTTCAATTGAGGAAGTCTTACATATGGCTTACCCGCATGGCTTTCTCGTTTTCCCGCAATTGATATTTATTGCTCAGTGTATAGCCAGGCATTGGTAATTTTCGAATCTTTTGTCGATTTATCCGAACCGCCACCAGGGTGGCCTAAAATTGTAGGTAGACTTCGAAAAACATCAAACAAACAAAGGGTGAAAATCTAAGTAACTAAAATAGTCTTACGATAGCAATCGCCGTACTGCCCACGCTACCAAGGGCAGCAGCAAAGCCCGGTGACATGATGTCTAAATTTAGCAAATCAGATCAGTATCGGGAGGTACGCACTGAATACGAATAACGCCGATATAAGGCCGCAGAAAAGGAAGCCCAGCGTCGTCAACAATATAAAGAATCCGCGATAGTGCACGGATTCGTAGCTGGCGGCAAAAACCGTCGCAAACATGCGCTCGAAGAGTAGGCCAGCGAGTGTCGCTAAATGTTTAGGTCGTAATCTGTAACTTAACTGTTTTTATTTCCAAATAACACACTTGGCATCAGTGCATACATCAATCCTCGAACCACAGAACATACGATGATTGCCGTGGGCTGAGGTTCTAAACATGTCTTGATGCGTTATGGCAACCAGGCCTATTACCCATCCATTCCCAAGCGAATTCGATTTCGCTTTCGTAGGACACCAATATTATTCGCGCAACGGAAAAAGGGATAAGGTAAAGAAGAGGTGCTTCAATCCACCGTGCCAGGTTTGGATGGAAAGTCTGACATGGTTCAAACCAAAGTGTCCGTACCCGAACCTTACCGGCAAAGCGTCCATAACGTAAAGAATCACCGGGAGCAGCAATAGCGATACAACATACAATACAATCTCAATGGCATAGCCGCACCTAATGATAGTCCACATCTCCAGCTCGTCTACTGTTGTAAAGTTTACAAAAAAGAAGAACTGGTATGTTCTTGGCATAGCCATGAGATGCTGATCACAATGAGCGACTTATTTCGGCTAGAGTGGCGACCGGAATGAAGCTATTGATTCTCACTGCACGCAGGTGTTTCATGACAATTAGTCTGGTCTGTGTGCACGTGGGGACATAGTTCAATGTTCTATTTCTAAAACTCATTCAAGTTTCCGGGATCGGGAGTAATTTCCATGGAGTGACCAGTTTCGGAGTGTTGCATTAAAAATCTTCGTTTGCTGATCATAGGCGCTAGTTTCCACTGAGCATGTATCCACCGCCACGCGGGAGGTATTGCCAACGATGAGCGCTTATGTTTGCCACAGTTAAATATGCTTTTTGAAAAGGGTTTATTAGCGAGAGGCATCATTTCCATTGAGCATCCAGCTGGGAAAAATAGTCTTGTTGCTTGGCACCGAGGTAGATGGCCTAAAAATATAGCTAAGTTAAGTTGCATTAAGACAAGACCAAAGTTCATCAGCTCAGTGAAATTAGAGCCACTTTTGGCATTTGCGAAAAACGAGTTTTAGTCATCTTTCCTGAAGTCATCTTTCCTAAAGTCATCTTTCCTAAAGTCATCTTTCCTAAAGTCATCTTTCCTAAAGCCATTTTTCCTAAAATTCATCTTTCCTAAAAGTCATCTTTCCTAAAAGTCATCTTTCCTAAAAGTCATCTTTCCTAAAAGTCATCTTTCCTAAAAGTCATTTTTCCTAAAAGTCATCTTTCCTAAAAGTCATAGTAAACGACCAGCGCTGACCCCCCGCTACGCGGCGGTTCAGCGCTGCCCCGCCCCGAAAAAAAATTGAATTTAGAATTTGAATGCAGGATTTGGCTGAATTCCCGGTCGTGCGAACGGACGGACATTACAA